TTAACCAGTATATAGTTTTGTTTATTTATTTTCTAATAAAAAAATTTTTTTTATTAACTTTAGAGTTAGAGTGAGAACTATATTAAGATTAGAGTATTTATTATATGTAAAATTAAGTACTGGAAACTTTTACTTAATGATATAAAGTAAGTTTTCATAATAAAAATTTAAGATATTAATGTTTTTTGTTTTTTTTTCTTAAAAATTCTTCATTTTTGTTATACAAAGATCCTGCGATTTGATTGGCTAATCATTTAATCAGTGAATTTCACCTCTGGTGAGTATTATATAGGATAACTTTCTTGTGATTAGTTGATCACGTAAATTGAATATCACGTCATGATTGGTCAAATTGCAGATCATGTGCAAACTGGCCAATCAAAATTTTCATTTGCTATAAACGATATAATATTTTTATTATATATGCTACTAAAAAAATCTTGCACTTATATATGACAACTTAAGATCAGGAATAGATTAAAAATGATTTAATATATTTAATTTAGACAAGTTATTATATAATCTATCGCTATATAAAATTATAATAAATAAAGTTTTTTTTTTTTTTTTTTAATGTTAAGGTGACTACTTGGGGTATGGCACGTTTTATTAACTTCGGTTGCAAATATCAGAGCAGCCACAGGACCACCCCTGACTTTGTTACATTAACGAGGGTATATTCTAACCATATCTGCGCCTTTTGAGCACCTAATTAAGTATCTACCTATTACTAGGTTCTATACTAGATGCCGTACCTATAACCCACTATTACTTGAGTTATCCATTTAAACCCTCTGATCAACTTAGCGCTGTCAGATATTCTCCCCAAAGAGAAACTGTTGCTAAGACCTCTTAGGACTACTTTACCCTCATAGTAAACCTACTAGAGCGGTCCATATCCTACACATGTATTACCTAGATTTTCGGTAACTTACACCTAGGCCGAAACCAAGTACTTGCGAGCCGAAGCTGCTACCGTTACTTTACTTCTTGCCTTTATGAAATTCACCCAAACCTCAGCACCCACTTTACAGACTATCACCGACTTTCCTGGCACACCAACAGTGTTCCCAAACTTCCAATCCAGATAGCCCGGAAGGAACTTGCGTTCCCTGGTATTCCGATGAATCCTTTTCCCCATATACATGTGGCCTGGTTGGTATGGTGCTTTGCCCAACACCTGGTCCTCGTTCAGTTTGCAGTTAGGTCCGATTGCCGATGATCTTTCTTTACATAGTACTATTGAAGATCTGTGCTATCTTTCTATTTAGGACTTGCCAAGCAGGCTTCTGTGTGCCCTGGTCTCCTGGATTTACCTGGATCCATCACTTGGATTTTGTGTAACTCTTGCATTACACTACTGTTTCAGATCCTCCTAGTACAAGCTGGTATGACCAAGGTTACAGATGCTGATCCGCCGGATTACACACAGCTGCTGTAACACATTCTATAACATTTGAATTTCATATCAGTGGAATTCGAACTCTTGTCCTGCCGCTTGGGATGCGACAACCTACCAACTTCACTAAGTCGCTACACCCTTTATAATAAATAAAGTTTCTTCATCAAATTCCAAATGATTAAGTCAAAATCTTCTGTAATACATAATAAAGTTATCTTAAATGTAGACTACAAATGAATAAAGCTAAACCTATTTATTAAAAAAAATAAAATAAAACAATAAACATTTAGACTTTTTTATTGCGTTCTTAGATAATACCAAAAACTCAACTTTGAACTTATAAGTTCAAGATCCCGAAATATAGAACTACTTACCAAATGATGTCTTCATATCTAAGTAAAGCTTTAAGTGTTTGTAATCTGTTTTTAATATATATTGCTACAAAGTTATTATTACTTCCAAACTTGTTTTTTAAACTAATTAACTCACCTTTTGCAAGTTAATTCAGTCTCGGATATTACCAAATTTGGATGTTGTAGATCACTTCCTTTTTTGTATAATTAGAAAATTCTCAAGGCTTCTATTTAAGTCTATTACTAATCTATGAAGATCCATAAGGCTAAATTTACGCCAATCACTGTTCGTTTTCTTATTTGGTAAACAACTGTCTTCTAAAGCCCTTGGGATCATGGGGGATCCCTAGACTACATAATCATAGAACAATTTTTATTAAAATTAATTTGAAAGTTTATTATTAAATGATTTTTTTATAAAAAGAAATAAAAATACTATATAAATCGATTCTAGAAGAGTCGTTTACTAATAGTAGATCAATTTCTATATTTGGTAATATCTGAGACTGTAATTAGGAACCTAAACGCTTATATTTATTGTACATTACCATTTTCATAGCTTAACAATCGTCTCTAAGTGAAGTATACTTGGGTAAAATGAATCTCAGAGATACAAAAGATACTTAAAGCTTCGTTCATGAAGAGTCTTCTGTTATATTATAAATGAGGTTACATTTTTTTAAAAAAAAATTTACTATATTAGGGGTAAAAGTAGGGGGTAAAAGTACTCTAAACTATATAAATTCAATTGAATAAAATTGACCAATTACGAGAAAGTTAGCCTATATGTGAATATTAAGATCATCCTTTAGTTAAAAAAAATTTAGCAGTTTTAAAGTAATAATTATATATAAAATTATATCTTAAACAACTTTAGTTTAGATATATAAAAGAGTTATCTTAATAAAAAAAAAGTTTTCTATATACTAATGTTAAAATTTTCAATTTTTTATATAAAACTTTTTTCTACTTAGATAATCTATTCTAACTTCTTAAACAATTTTGTTTAACACATAATTTTACATATTTTGTGTTTTATCAATTTTGATTTCAAACCTTTACTAAATAAGGCCAGACCAATTTAATTCTTCATTTAACATAACCCCCCTATTTTTTAAATTTTATATGAACCCAATACTCATTAATAGTAATTAATAGTATTTACCCCCCCTCAATTTTTTAAATTTTATATAACTAACATATGTTAAATCAACCAATAAAATTGCTGTTTTTTTTTAATTTGTGTATTTTTCACGCCCTCCCTCCCATTCTTATGAACTATTTAATGTTAAACGAAGAATCAATTTGGAGTGGCCTAAATAATAAAAAAAATCTGCAATATTATAAATTTATATGAGACTAAGTATATGTTCGATTTTATTGGATGATCGACCACCCCGCCGGTAGACTCTCCGATGCTGGGGAAGATTCTAACGATGAGCAGAATCACGTGATACAGAACCAATCAATTATAGAGTTCTGATGATCGTTGGCGAAGCAAAACAAGAAATAAAAACGAAAAACCTGAAAAATACAAAAAACGGCAGTCTAAATCTACCTCAGAAGAGCTAATTAAAAATGTCGAGAAGGCAATTTTGCATATATATAACTACCCCTAACCTTAAAGTTAATTTAATAAAATATATATTATAAGAATCCACTCTGCTTTAGACGTCCCCAATTTGCACACTTGAAGGGGTACAAGAATGTGATTTCTAAAGGACCCCAAAAAGTAAGCAAAGAAATAAAGGGATAGAAAGGCTAGATATTAACAAGTATACCATTTTCGAAAACTCAATGGACAATTTAGTCTTCTTATGATGCCATATACTCTTGAGTTAATTTCCAGAAAATTATAACTCGCAGGCAAATTTGCCCGTAAAATGGTGTAAGGGATATTGATTCCGAGGTTTAATTGTGATGTAAGTTACATTGTTTTATGAACGATATTAGTACGTACGTACTATTTATCATCGCGTAATAATGGAGAGTTAAGGCGTTGTCATCGAGTGAGTCTTTAACGGAGTAATACTACATTATTTTGATGTAAAGGGATTGCATAATTTTTTTTTTAATAAAAGCAATATGTAAGCGCTTTTTACTTTTGTAAGGAGTCTACGTAGAATGATCACATATATCACCGTGTGATTTAATGTTAAATTATAAACTGTAAGCCTCACTAAGCTAAGGCTTGGACATCATAAACAAATATAATACGCATATATATGTACTTAACTGTTAAGTACGTACGTACGTACTTTGATATCTTTAACCTTGCGTCAAATCTGATTTATAAGCAAAGATGGGAAAGTTTACGATGAGGATGAGAATCTTAAGAATTATTGCAGTGACGTTCATAAGCATATATATAATATTTGCGTTTGTTTGTCCAGCTTTGGGTAATTATTTATTCTATGTCTATCAAAAAAAAAAAAAAGATTTAATGAATAGTTCGTTTTCAGAAATCGCCAAACTTAAATTATTTTCAAAAGTTGGAAGCCCATATCAATTAACTATTCAAATGGAATATGTGTAAATATCCTGCAATAACGATAACTTCAAAATTTTAAATTTAAATTTTTGAAAATTTATTAAGGCAATTCTTAACAGTTAAACTTTTTTTAAAAAAAAAATTAGTTATTTGGCGGTATCTCTTATTCTACCAAGTAGGTATTTCACATTTCATAAACTTCAATTTATAGATTTTTTTCTCCTATAGTTATAAATTATCTAATAATTCTTTTATGTGTAAAAGTCTGGATTATTTTCTCGTTGGTTCTTAATTTTTGTTACAAACCCGAACTAACGCCACAAGGAGTAGAATTAAGATTACTGTAATTTATATTTTAGAAATGAGAATTTATATAAATTTGAGAATTAAAAATATGATTAATCATATCTATTTAAATTTTAATTTATATATTATTTTTAGAGGCTGGACTTTGCTGTGGTTATCCATCTCAGGTATATATATATATCCTTTTTTTTGCATTTCAAATTCAAATTTATTACACATAATTATTATTATATATAGCTTTATTCTGTTTAGTTTTGACTATATTATATATAATTTTTCATTGCTAACTTTGCTTCTCAACTCTTCACATATTGAAAATTCAGTTTTATATACATTATTCACACGTGATGACACCGGGGGAGCACCACTCAATTGTCCATTAAATATAACATATAATTCTACAGAATTTTATACAGCCTGCAAGATTCGTACTGCAAATTTTATTGTTATGTGGTCTTTTGCTATATTGGCTATAATATTAATGATAACTATTCCTGCTGGACTTTTTCCACATGATGAGATTCAACTTGAAATGACTAAAAATAAACCAATTGATGTTATAGGTTTATGGACAAATTGTGATCCGGAATATCCTGAGCCTGCGTTACAGACAATTGTCAAAGGTTAATATAGGCCGGTACAAGAATGTAGATACACGAGAACTAAAAATTTATTTTTTCTACATATAAAGTTTTTTCATTTAATTATAATTTTTTTATATTAAATAAAACAAATTCTAAGCTATTATTTGATATATTTTTTATTATATTTTTATAGACAATTTGTTATATAATAATTTTTTTAAAATTTATTTTTTTTAGAAATTTTATTATTTTTGCCACCAATATGCAACTTTAGAAGCTTGTATTACACAAGTATATTGCTATATATATACTAAATATATAATTAAGATTTTTTTTATTGATTCAATAACTATTAAGATATAAATTTTTAAAATTTACTAATTCAAATTATTATATTTTATAAAAGTTATATAATTGGGCTTTCTCTTTCCCCTTTTATAACTAATAGTAGCTAGTTTTAAATTAGTTTACAAATAGAAAATTAAGAGGTGATTTGCTACACTTAGGTGGTTATACAAGATATAATAGATAGTTTAAAATTAATATTATCTTGATACAAATCTGTAACT